CATTTCCACTTTATTATCGCTTTCTGGCCTACGTGTGATAACATCCTAAGTGACATGCTGTGGTTGTCTACAGGGTGACCAAGTGACACTTCTAACAGAAACTATTTTGTTACTGTGGAAGAAAACTGTCCCAATCATATAAGAGCTTCCAGCAAATTAAAAAAGAAGCTATTTTCTGTCCTGCAGCACAACTCTACTGTCACCTTCTGCCAGAAGGTGACCACAGAACTGCACTGGAGAACCTACAAATGCCTAGAGAAATGCTCTCTCTAGGAATTTCTAGATCCTCCGGCACAACTCTATGTATGGTCAATTTCCAATGGATGCTGACCACAGAGCCACGTTGTAGGACAGCGGTAGGCAACCTTTCCCCTTTAAGGGCTGAGGGACTTCAGCTCCCAGAATCCCAGGAGCTATTGGCCAACATGGGACCATTGGCCAACATGGCTGAGGCTTCTGGGAGCTGAAGTCCCTCGGCCCTTAAAGGGGAAAGGTTGCCTACCCTTGCTGTAGGACCTAGAGATTCCTAGAGAGAAGATATTGAACAAATCAGCAAATAATAAAATTTGCAAGTCAAAGCCACGAACATAGAAAACCGATGGTATACTTTTAAGCTAAATATTAGCAATTCGGTAATTTCATTTCTTCTCCTATATAGCACAAGCAACAATATACCCTCCCTCCATTGAGCCTTCTAAATTATATTTAGTTAAACAGAATTTAACTTTTAGAAAAAGAGCGTAGCCCCTGCTTTAAAAGTAACAAACTTAATTTAGGGCCTTTGCAGACTGCTGGAAATAGTGCAAATTGAGTCCACTTTAAGGGTTAGGGTTAGGGTTAGGGAATCATAGGAACTGTATTTTATTGTGGCACCAGAGCTCTCTGAGAGAGAAGACTCAATGTCTCAGAAAAAAAACAATTCCCATGATTCCCTAGCACTAACCCTAACCCTTAAAGTGGACTCAATTTGCACTATTTCTGGCAGTCTGCAAAGGCCCTTTGCCTTCTGTTCCACCAGTTAATAACACTTGTATAGTAAGTACCATATTTTCCGGCGTATAAGACGACCCGGCGTATAAGACAACTCCCCATTTTTCCAGTCAAAATATAGAGTTTTAACACCTCTATCCTCCTTATCCTTATACCCGGTGTATAAGACGACCCCCCCACTTTAACCACAGATTTTGCAGGTTAAAAAGTAGTCTTATACGCAGGAAAATAAGGTATATGAAATGCCTTGTGATCACTGCCTGCACCAACTAGGCTCCTGGGAACAAAAGTCACAGTTCACACTACAGCCCACTAAAATTTCTCCTCAGGGTTCAACCTCTCCATATATATGTTCCAAGAAAGCAGGTAACTTATTAAAGAGGAATTTGTTTCTATCAGAGAGCATTGCTCCCTCCTTAGGCATCAAATTTCATTAGAGAAGACTTCAGAGCACTGTTTTGTATGCAAGCTAGTCTTTCCTCACAATTACACTCATAGTCAAGGAAGGGATGAAGAGTCATTGTTTCTGTCTTCACATCTGTGAACAAATATCCCAAGTAGGTTGTTTATGTAGTGTACAAGCAATGCCTTTGCATCTGCACACAAATTTACCCAAGCAAGGCAGCCTTTATTTTATTCTACGGCCGGGGGGGGGGGGGGGGGGGGGGGGGGGGGGGGGGGGGGAGAGATGTGGCCTTGTTGCTTTCTTGCATTTCCTATCATCACCCACCATTAGCTTTGCGTAGTGCAGTGAATGGAAGCTTCACTCTAACAATATCTGCAAGGCCACACAATCCCCAGTCCTACTCTATGACAAAGAAAGTTTCATGTAGACATACTACACAAAGAAAAAGGATACTGGTCTCAGGATACTAAAAATATAGTCTTTATTTGTTCAGAACACTTTTAAAATGCCATTAGATGCTGCCCAGGTTTTCCTCTCCCCCCCCCCCTTCCTGTGCATATAGCCTTGATTGTTCCAGAAAGCTCTATATTACACACTAGAGGAAGAAATTCCTAAAGCCCTTTCATAAAGTCACTGTTAGCTGATGATGAATATTCTGCTTCTGTGGTACTA